ACCGTTTCTACTAGATGAGGAGTTCATTTACAAGGTTAAAGATGCAGTGGGGTTCCTAGTGAAGTGGCCTAGATATCTAGTCATTCGATGATCTTATTTGGTAATATTTTCATTTATTTAAAGAAATTATATAGGTCTAATTTAAATGATTTCTTTATATTTTTTGTAGGAAAAAGTGTTGGCATTTATGGGAAAAAATGTGTGAACGGAGATGAAGTAGAAAGTAATAAAGGAAAAAAAGACAAAGAGAACTTGTTGAAAAGGAATAGGAGAAAGGAGAAGGGACACCGAAGACGGAAAAAAAAAGAAAGGGGAGAGGTGAAAGGAGAAGGGACACCGCAAAGGAAAAAGGAAGAGGAGAAAGGAGAAAGGAGAAGGGACACCGAAGACCGAAAAAAGAAAGAAAATGAGAAGGGAACACCGCAAAGTAGGAGGACGAGAGCACAAATGAGGATAAGGCTAAGAGTTGAAAGCAACCATGTTTTGAAAGTGTTTACACGTATGGTTGATATACAACTTAAAAATGTGGAGTCTATGAAAGTACAATGTGAGGACGATATGTTTGGGTACGAGAGTTTCACGTACATAACTTGGGAAGATTTTGAAGTGGTTTTTACTGTGGATGAGAAGATCAGTTCTGTGATTACTTGTTATATGATGTAAGTGCTTAATTTTAATTTTAGTAAAACACAATATATTTAATCATCGTACTTGTCTAATGTTAATATATAGGTACTTATTTGAGGAAATCAAGAATGGGCCAAAAAGAGATCATGGAATTTGTTTTATGTGCCCATCTGCAATCTCGCCATTAGGACGTAAGGCAAAATTCAAAAATAGCGATGAGGCAATTCGAAGCGTTGCCGATCGATTGTCTCTAAAAAAGGACAATGACATCGTCCTAGTGCCATATAATCCCGGGTTTGTTTTTCATTTTATTTTTCATTTGATTATCAATATATTTTAGTAACTTAATTTGGTTTTTCATTTTTATAGAAGACATTGGGTGTTGGCGGTGATAGATATGAAATCAACAAGTTGTTATTATCTTGATTCCTTGGGGCCCACCAATGTCCATCAACAGTTGAAGCAAGTTATTGATGCGTAAGTAACATAAATTATTGAACCATTATAGTATATTATTTGATATATTTCATCAATGTTTATAGGGCAATGAAATTGTACAGTGCTCAAAGTGGATCTAACAAAAGGGTTAGCCTAAATTGAATCAATGTTTTGGTGAGGACTTCGATCGATCATTCCTTATTTAAATTGCAGCTTTCATTTTGACTAATCGTTTATTATAAACTGTTTGTAGTGTCCCCGTCAGTCGGGAGGTACCGAGTGTGGATATTATGTTTGTAAGTTCATGAAAGAGATAGTCGAGAACGGACATCAAGTGTTGGTCAATAAGAATGTAAGCAAATGTTTCTGATACACATCTGTCATATCATACATACACATTACTCATACAACTATCATATGGACTTGAAGTAGGATGCTATTATTTGAAATTCAGCTACAATAACATCTTGTCTATTCATATTAATAAGAATTGTCATGATCTTTTTATTTCTGCTGAAAAACTCATAGTTGGATGCTATTCTAGACTTCTAGTTATCACCTTGTAGTTTGAATGTTCTTTTATTTTGATGATTCATGTTTCTGTATGGAGGTTATCGTTTATAATTTGAAACAAATTAAACTTAAAAATCTTGTGAATTTAACTTAGTGGAAGATTACATTGATGGTAAACTTCTTGTTAGTTGCTTCTATTGATATATCATGTTGTAAGTAATGAGTGAATTCTTGATTCTAATTACACGTTTTAAGCATGTCACAATCGGGACTAGTTTTCGATATATGAATCAATGTCTAAAGGAACAATTATATTAGGGAATAATGCCTCTCGTGGGATCACTGGTACTGATAAGATCAAGCATATTAAAATGTTCGGTGGAGTTGTGAAAGAATTGGATAATGTCCAAGACACATACTAGACTTAAAAAAGAAATCAGATTTTATCAAGTACTCTAGACGTAAAAGGGTACAAGTAAACTGCTGAAGGTGGAATAATGAGGATCAATAGGGACTCTCTTGTGGTGATAAAAGGTCAAAAAATGATTGTCGAGATTTATGTCCTGTAGATTCAATAGTTCTAGATGATGAAATTGTTACTTTCACTTTCTTGTTGGATCGAAATGGAGAAAAATGAGATTTTATGATGAATAAGACATATTGAAGCTTTGTGAGTCTGATGAATTTAGGAAGAAAAAGATAATTCATTTTGGCACGAGGATTCATGGTGCCAAAGGTTAAAAAATTAGAGCTCTATTGGGGAAGAACATAAGGTTGATTTAGTTGTTCATGCCATATATTTTTTTATTGAAAGCATAGACATCGTTGATTTTCGAATCATATAGTGCATAATGTTATTATTCGTGGTGATATTGTTGTGAAAAAAGTTGATACTTTTTATAATGCTATTGATTTGATGACTTTGCATAATGTTATTATGCTTTAAAGAATGCATATGTAAAATTGGTCATTTGAGTACTCTTTAATAGTTAATTATATACTTCACTTTAAATAAATATAAATTATATACTTATTTCATATTTTTTACTTAGGTTGGCGATGGGAAGAAAGAATACACGGATGATAACATTGATGATATTCGCAAAGAATGGGTATCTTATGTGGCAAACTTTATTATGTCGTGATATTTTGTATCGACATATGATTAATACAATATTTTTGATAACTTAATGTGAATATATTGTATGCAAATGGATTGCTTATATATAATATGATACATAGATTTAGTATTATGAGGCATTAAATGTGATTTAGTTTGATTATTTGTCAATCTACAATATATATATATATAAAATATATATATATATATATATATATATATATATATATATATAATTTACGAAATACAATCACGACACACGAATGTGTGTCGTCTTTTTTAATGACTTGTGCTTCAATGACTCTCAATGTAAGTCATACATGCGTGTCATAAATTTATGACACACAAATGTATGTCATCTTAATTTATGACGGGGGCTTCAATGACGCTCAATGAACGTCATAAATGTGTGTCATAAATGCGCGTCATAGATTTATGACACACAATTGCGTGTCATCTAAGATTTATGTCAGTGGCTTCAACGACAAGCATTTGTATGTCATCCGCACCCATAGATGACGTGCAATGAGCGTCATTAAAGGGGTTTTTTCTAGTAGTGATTGTAATCTCGCTCAATCTTACAGAAGTGACTACGGATCCATATAGTAAGCAACTGAACACATCTAGTGAAGTGGCTACTCTCTGCTCTTTTACAATTGTTAAGAGACCTGGAGGTTTCTACTAAGACTGCATGAACATGATTCACATTCTTTTCCAACCGCTCAAATAAATCAACAACGGCTGAGTCTATATGGAAAAGAGACCTAAAGGTTTCTACAACTGTTAAGAGATCTGAAGGTTACTTTATGGGGTTTCTTTTCCTTGTAATTTTTTTAGTTCTGTAATTTGAGCCTGCTAAAAAATAATAAAAGTTAGTTAATTTTAAATTCCATTGATATATATATATATATATAATATATATATATATATATAATTACATTTGTATATACACATAAACTAAGGCCACATAACCATATAAATATAATATATAGGCATATATGCATAAACATGAACCCACGTCACCATATAAATATAATAAAATATGTATAGACACTCAAGATATACATACGCATATTTAAACATTCATGCACACCTAATAATATATGTAATATGCGCATCATATATATATATATATATATATATATATATATGAAACTATGGTAAAATCCCAAACAAAATGAGTATCTACACATATAAATAGATAGAGATGATAAATCCTAGATAAAATGAGTATCTACATATAAATAGTCAGATGACTATTTTATAATTTTTAATAGTATGGTGACTCAATAAAACAACATCTTATAATTAGGGATCATTTTATAATTTTCAATAATCAAGATATTCATTAAAACAATATCTTATAATCGTATTTGTGTACTTTACCCTACTGTTTATTAACAAAAATGGTTAAAACCATTAATATCTCATAGACAGTGGTTCTGTTGATATCAGTCTCCTATGTTTTGAGATTGCTGCACCTTATAGGGTCTGATTATGTTTTGGATGTGTCTAACATTGTTATACGCCAGATGGATCAAAAAGGATATGGTCCTACTTTCTGAAATTACGAACTTTTATAAATTTAATTTTTTAATATTGTCATATTTTTAAAATTTTGTAATTTTGTATTTTTTAATTAATTTTTAATATAATATTTTAAGTTGACACTCATAACATAAAATCTTTTGTTTCTATATAGTTGTATGTGTTTTTTTAAAATAAAAATATCGAGGAAAAGAAGAAGAAAAAACCTTTTATAGAAACTGAAGATGTTACAATTTTTTTTAGAAAAAGTAAACTGAAAATGTTATTATAATGGCCAATAAAGTAAAGTTTTTGCAAGTTGCAATATATATGCATAACAACGACATCTACTGCACCAATGAGGAGAAAATCTCCTGACCATTATATATTTGATTTTTTTGTAAAGATATATATATATATATTGTCTTATCTCTAATTTACATGCACCATTTTTCTCATTATTTTGCTGTTATTTTTCCTCCTTTACAAACATTACCCGCTACAAGTGGTGAAACTCATTAGAGAAAAATCGAATTTAATTCAATTGATTCACAATCAACCTTAGGAGGTGGTAAATTCGATTGATTCATGCATACAATCAATCTTAGGAGGTGACATTCGACAAATATCGAGTTTGGACCATCGAATTTGTAAACATTCACTCAAGTTTCCATCAAATTTGGGATTAATTTTTTTCATTAAACGACATTGCCAATAAGGTACATGAAAAAAAAGAAAACAAGATGCATGAGAAAGATGGTTAATAAATAGACATTCATTTACTCCAATTCTTAATAGCCTGCAACACTGCTTGTTTCACCACTTGTGCATCAATAGACTCATCTTGTTCTTCATTCTGCCAAAACAAATATATACACATCAATACATAATCTTGTAGAATTGATGTATGAATGAAGATAAGTTGAGAGATTCTTACTTCACCACCAACAGCTTGTAACCGGAAGCTATCTGTGCAAGAAACCCTAGCTTCAAGAATGTTAAGGCCCAGTTCTTCAAAGGCTTCCAATAAAGAAACAAGCAGACCAGGGCAGGTGTTTTCTGAGAACACATTGATAAGAAAACCCTTGTCTAGGGTTTCTACTGTAACCTGCCATGGATTCTGATGATTTGAAGATTGAGCAGCAGCTGATATATCTCGATTCAGTCTTTCAACTTTCTTCTTTAGCTCTTCAATGTACTTTGATGCATCCACTATGATTGTTGTTTTGTTCACCTGCCATTTGTTCAATGAGCAGTGAGAGTTTGTAATGGAAGATTACATATAGAAATGGAAGAAAAATTATAGGGTTTTACAGCATGAGAATTTGTGATTGAACGAAGAAGATGAAGCTTCTGATGCAGTGATGCTCTCTTGTCCTCCCTCGAAACCATTTCTTCTTCTTCTTCTTTTTTCTTTGTATGATTTTGCTATCTTATCCTCTCTTCTCCTTCATATTTCTCTTTGTTTTTTCAACTCTCTGTAATGCTCCCAGAGGGGATGAGCTCTCAAATCTATATAGGATCCCTCCTCTTTGGTTCCCACATGAATGCCTTAGTTTCTTCCCACCATAATATAATATAGACTCCCTGTCATTTTACCACAATGCCCCTTCTAATTTTCTCTCTCTATATATATACATGCCTAATCAAGTTACCTCAATGATTAAATAGATGGTTGTTATCTTTAGAGGTCTCAGATTCGAGCATCAGAGACAAAGGTGATTGAACTTTCATTGTCAAATGGTTGAGAATTTTTAAAACACATACTACTTGTAATCAACTTAGATTAATATATATATATATATAGATAGCAAATATTAAGATTTAGATTCAAGGAAACTTGTCAAGGATAGATGTTATTGAGCTTTTCTTAAGGAGAGAATTCCAATTTGTACAAGGTGATATCGGAATCATTTAATCACTAGGTATATGTTGGTCATTATTTATATCTTGCATGTATGTTTTATAGTCTATATTCGAGATTCCTAAATGTTCTGTATAATATTGTGTTCGAACTTGGATTGTCTCTTTAAGATGCAATAATATGCACTATATATAGTCTTAATTTTAGACTTCTTCCTCTATTTTCATAGCGAAGAATCATACTAGATACCCTCATCTATGTATTTTAATGATTTAAATAGAGATTAATTCGGTCAAACCATCTAAGATCACAAGGGTAAAATTTTTTTTGGGACAAATATTTAACAATGTTGCATTCTTTGTAGGAAATGTGGAGGATTGAAGTTGAAATAAGATTGGAAATTGAACTTGCTTCAGACATGCCCTCGTACTCTTACTTTACATGTATATTACTAGTGACAGATCCAGAATTTTTTTTGAGATGGGTACACATACATTAATAAAATAAAATTTTCGTATGGGGTGAATATAATAAATAAATAATTAATTAAAGAAAATTTGGATTCTAGAATAGACACGTACTCATACTCTACGTACTCATACTCTTCCATGTAAGAGGGTAATTGAGGGAAATGCCATTGGGTGAGAATCATATGATGAGGTCTCTCGTGAAGTGAAAAGAAAATGGGCATCGAAATAAGTGAAACAAAAGGATGAATGTTTTAGTTTTGTGATATATGGGAATGCCTCCAAACACTCCTCACGGGGGACTTCGTTCTTACACTCTTCCCCCATTCACCAGCTAACCGTCACTCTCTTTGTCTTCTCCCCCTCTCTCCACACATGCCATTCTTTCCCACATACATACATACATACTTGAACTCATTGAACGACCTCATTGGTAAAACGCAATGTCGTTCTCTTTAGAGGTCCTGGGTTCGAGCAGCTATGTCTGTAAGGTGTGTGTGCATTATCAATTGCTAAGAAAGATTCTGAACAGATACTACCTTATAATCAGATACACGAAACCTAAACTAGGTATCCATCAATGATAAGAATCCCTCCCTATATCCAACTGAACTGAAGTGAATCTGCAGCAAGCAATAGGAGAATTTCTGATCAAATCTTTAGCCATTGTCCAATGAACATGTCACGAGATGTTTATATATATATATATATATATATGATTGAATCATATACGTGAGTTTGTTTGTTTTATTTTTCATTTGATCATATGCACAAGAGGGCTATGTAGCTAGTTTGGATGAGTTTGCAAGAAATTGTAGCATTCTCTCCATTCCACAGGGACAAACGACGTGCCCACATATTCACATGTGTGCCCTTAATCATTACAACAAAACAATACTCTCCATACATAAACCTGCGCCAACCTTGTCTCTTGCCTTCCATGAACTTGCTCTTTAGTTAAGATCGAACATCGATAAAATTATGGGAGAGATGAGTTCTCTCCACTCCTTTAGTTCCATCACGACTTACATATACTATCGAATTAAACCCTGATTCAATTGTGTTTGATGAGAATAACCGGAGTTGATTCGATCAGTTGAATATTTATTTAACACGTCGATAAAAATCGAAGTTCGAGTGTGACCTATGACCCCCATTTGATTGAGTTTGATGGGTGAAAGTTAGTTACAAAAAAGTTGGAGATCTAGAAATTTCTCTTTTGGATTTGATTAATATTAATTATGTTCACATGATTCAGAACAAATAGTAGCATGGAAGATTAATTGAATAATATTAATGCCACGTTAAACCCTAATTAATGTCACGTAAAACTTTAATTTTAGTTTAATTGTATAAGTAAATTCTTTATTTTGTTTCAATTAATACATATTTCTTTTTAAAATTAAACGCATATGTTTATTTCATATTATATAATCTTGTGTGTATATAATATGTAAATATAAAATGATGTTACATCTTTTGTAGTTTGTGAAAATTAAATCAAATCTAAACTTTATGCCCACAAATATATAAAACCAAAGTTTATATACCATATTATACATTTGATGAAATTTCATGTGTAATTTTAATATATATCTTTTAAACTAAAATTTCATTACACTAGCCGTGATATATGTTATTTCTTTTGAAAAAACGAAAGATCTCTTGATATATATTGTAGACACTCGTTTTCGCTCGGTCCTTTTATTTTTATTTATTTATTTTATATTATTTTATCCTTTTTATAGTTTTTTACAAGCCCAAATTGGGCCCCAAAATTACATTACAGGCCCAATTACAAAGGGTCATCCGACCCAAACCGGTCCAAATCGAGGCCCAAACAACCCAGCCAGCCCAAACCAAACCCTAGTCGAGCTGAAACATTTAGAGTTTGAAAACCTAAGTCTCCAAGTCTTCTTCCGCTGTCGCTAGAGCAGATCGTTACCAGTGAAGTCGCACTCCGTCGTCTTCGTTTTACCTGCTCCACGATCATCATCTACAGTAAATGAAATCATATCAGAAAAATCAAGAAACAAATAAAGAAAAATCAAACCTAATCACGAAAAATTCGGGGCCTTTAAAGCCCTGATTTTCCTCACCTAATCCACACACCTTCCAAGCCATCATCACCTCTCTGCCAAGCTTCACCAAACACGCAAAGATGAAATATATAACGTGCAAAAAATCAAAAAGAAGAGGAGATTCGGTTTTTGGAAGGGAGAAAAAAAAAAGGGAAGTTCGATTCAAAACAAATATAAAAAAAGGAGAATAAGGGGTTTTGGTTTCGAATAAAAACAAGAAAAAAGGGGGATTCAAAAAAAAATCAAAAAGAAAAGGGGAGAGAATAGAAAGCTTACCTTCATCGCCGGTCACTGGGAAGCCAAAAAGACTTCATTTTTTTTTGTTTTCGAAAGGTATAAACCTAAATCTAGGCATTTTGGTTGAGTTTTAAGAAAAATAGGTTTTGGATTCGAGGTTAAGAGGGAGAGATGATCATTTTGATATGATTTGTTTCTTCTTTGGCCACTGTGAACGGCGGTAGAGCACGTCGGCGGCTGGAGGTTTTCCTCTCATGCAGAGAGAGGTTGAGAGAGTTTTCTCTCTTTCTCTCTCATTTAAAACAAAGAAAAAAAAAAATGAGAGGGGATAGGAGAGGGACAGCTGAAAAAGATGAAAGAATAATGAGGGTTAGGGTTCCCTCAAATGCTATAATGGGGTGTCTAAATCCTATCTAAAACTATGTCATTTTGGGAACTAGGGTTTCACTGAAATCGATGCATGGTCTAATCACGCAAAGAGGATCTTTTAATCACTTTGTAAAATTTTGTTTTGTGATCAAACGAAATTCTAATTTCTTTTAATTTGGCCTTTGAACTTTACATGCGATACGTTTCAGTCACTATTTTAATATTGTACGTTTTGGTTTATTTACGCATTTGGTCCTCACTTGAGTTTATTATGTTTCTGATTTTACCTTGTTATTTTATGCATGTTATATTTTGGCCACCATGGTTTATTGGTTTTTATTTATTATAATTTACCATGAAATTTTAAATAATTTCGTTTTGGTCCTAAATATAATAATTTATTTCCATTTTTAGTGCTTGTATTCTCTGTTATTTACATTTTCACCCTTTTATTCCATGATTATTGTAATTTTTGTTCTTTAATCTCCTTCACTTGCATTTTTGTCATCAAATTTTTAGTATTTAATTTTCTTTTTATGCACCTCATTTTCTGATTTCTTTCGTTTTGATCCGTTGTATATATTTATTGTTTATCTTTATTTTATTTTATGCTTATGTTATTTATTTCTTGTTCCTCACTATATTATTATTTTTATTCGGTCTGATCTGATAAATTACACATTAGTTGTTAGATTTAGGTCCTTATTCATTTACAACATTATTTTAAATTTTAATATGGAGTTGTTATGGTCTATTTATATATTTAGCCCTTATATTTATTATTCAATCATTTTGATCCCTATACTTTTCATTGTCTTATTTTATTTTTTATATATGCATATTTATTTATATTTATGAAGTACCTTATATATTTATTTTATTATTTTTAACTATTATATATATATATATATTCACATATATATATATATATATGTGTGTTTTAAACTTTATAGATATAATATAATTATTGTTATCCTAAGTTAAAAGTGTATATATATATATATATATAAAAGTGGGTATAAAGATATATAATTTTATTTTTATATTACACTTTTTATACATATGTGCTATATTATTAATCTTTACTTACTAAGTATAATATAATATAATATAAATAATATTATATATATGCTAATTATATCATTATGTTTATGCATACTATGTATGTAAATGTGTAATTTGGTACATATCAGTTTAGGTTCTATTTTAATTGAATTGCATAATATCCTCATAAGCATTTCTTGACTCGAATCGAAATAATTTGACTAAGGGTAATATTCGTTCATTTTAAGATTGTTGTGAAGTGACTATCTTAACTTATAAGAAAGTTACTTTCGATAATCTTAGAATGAAAGTGTATCCCATTAAGTGACACGAACAAAATTGATTACATTAAAATTTGGGGACTGAGAAAAATATCATGATCTTTTAATTAAATTCACTGAGAAAAGAATGTTAGATTGAATCTAAGGTCTAGTCTCGATTTATTTAAATAATTGAACATCCTTATTCTCATTAAAGGTTG